ACTTTTTGCATGGCAGCAATTGCAGCTGGAGAAGAGAGGAGTGAGAATATGCGAGAGGAGCAGCCCTGCAAATACCAAGGTCAGTGTAGAAGGAGGGGGAGGAGATGCTGCAGGCACTGGAGCTGAGGTTCCCCTTCAGCCTGTGGTGCAGACCAGGGTGAGGCAGCTGTGCTTCTGCAGCCCATGGAAGTCCATGGATGCAGATATCCACCTGCAGCCCATGGAGGATCCCACACCAAAACAGGTGGATACCCAAAGGAGGCAGTGACCCCGTGGTAAGCCCATGCTGGAGTAGGCTTCTGGCAGGATCTGTGGACCAGTGGAGAGAGGAACCCATGCTGGAGGAGGTTTGCTGTAGGGACTTGTGACCCTGTGGGGGACCCATGTTGGAGCAGCCTGTTCCTGGGACTGCACCCTGTGGAAGGGACCCACCTGGAGCATTCATGAACAACTGCGGCCTGTGGTAAGGTCTCACGTTGGAGTTCATGGAGGACTGTCTCCCATGGGAGGGACCCCATGCTGGTGTAAGAGAAGAAGTCCTCCCTTTGGAGGAAGCAGCTGCAGAAACAACATGCGATGAATTGATCACAACCTCCATTCCCTGTTCACCTACACTGCTTGGGGAATGAGGCAGAGAACCTCATTAGGAATAAAGTTAAGCCCCGGAAGAAGGCAGGGTAAGAGGAAGGTGGTTTTAAGATTTGGGTTTACCTCTCATTATACTACCCTGATTTGACTATAATAAATTAATTTCCCCAAGTCAAGCCTATTTTGCCCATGGTAGTAATTGATGAGTGATCTCTCCCTGTCCTTATCTCAACCCACAAGCTCCTGTCCAGCTGAGGAGCAACTTGATGAGCAACTAGCATCCAGCCAAGGTCAACCCACCACAGCCCTATCAGATGCCAACCTGTTCAAGTACTGAAATCTCAGCTTGCTGTGTGATTGAGCACCTTTCCTACTCTGGAGTTCCTCTGCTGCATCATTTTTCACTCACAAAAGCCCTCAAGTTGCACTAATTAATTGGGTAAATGAATCAAACCTTTCTTCAGAACAGGTCTATGGAGGAATTTCATAAATATTTCTTTAGTTCAAGTACTTGGGTAAACTGAAAATCTACCTGTAATCCTTTATGAAAGAGAACAAAATTTTACATGATTCACAAACTAAGAATTTTAAAATAGATTTTGCACTTACAGAGTAAAACCATTTAAAAATTCTAATGTGAATCATGTATGCAGCTTATTCATTCTCTATTACATACTTTGTGTAATGAAGGACAAGAATCATATGGTATCACTTCTTTCCCCAGTTTAAGATGTGCAAGTTTCTGGAGTCCTCCTATACTCCTTTAAAGGAAGACACAGACTTACACTGTTAAAAAAAATATACTTCAAAGCTCATTCTGTAATGAATTACTTCAGCAGCCTTAAATCAACATCCAAAAACAACAAAAGTTTCGTACCAGGATGGGGATAAGAGAACTAGATTAAAAATATCAACAAGAGGTTTAATTTTTTAAGAGTTTAGTCATTGACATTAAAGGTAACCAATGCAGCAGTCAGAGGGCATTGTAACACAGAGGTAAAGCATATGAACATTTTCCTCCAGAATTCACAAGATTCAATCAAAATGCTAAGTTAAACATCAGAGCAACCAGGAGTTTCTGTTGCGTTAGCAGAAGTTTTCAGGTTTCAGTGATATTTGAAGGCACAACGTGATTTGAACGCACAGTTGCTATGACTGCTGTGCTATAGAGACAGAATATATTAAAGGCATCTAAAAATGCCTGTTTGAGAACACTAAACATTTAGTCTGCTCCTACCACCTTCTGAAACATAAATTTAATACATGTTGATAAGTTTACATTAACACAGTAAGCTAACAGACTGTTCGAGGTACTGGTTAAAGTAATAAGAATCTCTGTTTTTTTGCAAGTTTAATCCAGTGAACAGAAAGATGGGACATATAAAGTTGCATGGCCTATTTCTACAATGACAAAAGAGTTATGAGTAATCATCAAAGGTACTGAGATGTTCCTAGTTCATTCATACAAACTAACAAGATGTTAGAAAACCAGAGAACTACAAGCTAAAAAGCTTAGGCTGTACTAGCTCAGTAGCCACAGTGGCTGGAGTTCAACATTGACTCAATACTTAAATATTTGCTCAGCTCCTTTCCCAGGATTCACAGCCTGAGAAGAATTATGTGCTACTGCAAACATGCCCTCAGCAGTACCTGCACTAGTTAGCTATGTCTACACAGAATTTCACACCAACAGGTACATAGTCTTCTAGGATAATTCCATTTGAAAGGAACCTCAAGGGGTCACAGAGTCATAATAAGTCAATAGTAGGTGTTTTCTATGAAAGAATAAATGTTATCCCTGTATCCCCATCTCACCTTTATACCAAAGGAGTAGCTGCCAATTTTATTTCCCCTGTTGTGATAAGTTCCATTTCAAGCCTCATTTGTGCTAGGGTTAGAACTCCAAGTATTAATAAGCAATGAAGTTTTTACACTACTGATGGAATTCCCTTTGCAACTTCTGTAACCCAAAGTAGGACGGCAACCATTGGTCGCCCCAGGTAGTTTGGGGACAACTGCTGTACAACATATAAGAGAATCAATACTTCAGAAAGTCAGTTTCTAAAATAAGGCAATGAGGCAAAACTACCAAGAGCAGAAAGAGAATAACTAATATTTCACAAAATATGCTATGAATCCGCTCTAGGAACACCATGTTAAAGTGACTGCATCCAAGAAAAGAATAACTGAAAAGGAAATAATGAAATAAAGCCTATGTGTTCAGATTGCCTCCAAGAACTACACTAGGCATTAACATACCAAGTCGAAGCTAATTCTTTCAGATACCATGCCCAGCTTATATACAAACCTTTCTCTTTTTTTGGCAGCCATATGTGAACTGTCCCTCATAGAAGTATTTATTCTTGGCTACAGAGACAAAAAGCATCTTCAGCACTTATGTACAAATATATTTGATTTGTAACTTTCTAAATGAACCCTATCAGCCAACTTCCCTATTAATTGCTGTCTAACACATGCTAACCAAAACCAAGGTGTATCCGTTGAAGTCTCCTAGCCTTTCTGAAGACACTAGTTTTATATTTGTTCCACTGTATATCTGGAATAAAAGCAAAAGTCATATGGAAAGCAGGAAGAAGACATTTACATGATCAAAGATCAAATGTATATTTTCATAATCTTTGTATAAACAAAACCTCACTGTTAGCCAATTATCAGCAAAAGATTATTCCATTTCCAGCATCTCATACTAACATCACATCACACATATTCCCAATTTATTCCGCTTCCTTATTAAAAGCATCCAGCAAATAACTAATCAAAAAGTTATAAAGAACCAGCATGGGTATTTCTTGAAAGTCTAGAGAGAAATGCCTCTCAGTTTGTCTATTTTAAATTTACAGAGAAAAGATTTTGGATCAGAACCCAGTTACAGTTTCACAAACTAATAGAACATAAAGGATAGTAACTAAGAAACCTGAGACAGAAATTATTTTTATAGGCTGTACTGCAATTAAGAAACATAATAAATGCCTATTGCTTTGTCTCAATTTAAAATAATTATGGTTAACTCAAGTGTTGTTGAAAATTTCAAGAACAATATTTTACACCCTTAATTTAGTAAGAGGTTATAGTAACTGTTTAAACTGTTTAACATATTAAAGAGCTTCATTTAAAAAAAACCGTTATAGAAATTAAATTTATTTTGTATAGTATCCCAGAGCAGCATTTTGAAATAGGACTGTTAAAAGTTCACAAGTTATAAACAATGAGTTACTTCTAAAAATATTTAATTATTATTTTTACTGTTAATACACGACTTAACGAGGAAACAGTGATGTTTTCTGGCTATAAATGTGTATTTTGAGTTCTGTGGTGGCTGCCTTTTGAAGTCAGTGACAATGAAAGAATTAAGTTTAGGAATAATCCATTTATTCACAAAAACATACAAAGTTTGCTCTCTGAAAACAAGAGCAGAACCTGCAAAACAAATACTGGTAAAAACCCAAACTGTGTATCCAAGGTGCACCCATTTCTCTGTAAGTAAGTAAAGACAGTTAAGGTAATTCCAACTGATCTCACAACACCAAATCAACAACTTTCCCCTGCAAAAGGAAACCCATGTAATAGCACAGTGTGATATCTCAGTGAGTGTATTTTTCTGCTCTTTATTTGTCTCCAGGTGTTTTGCACAAGCACACCTGCTAAATTAGGCAGAGCTTTGAGCAGCATCAACCTGAGACAAAAAAGTCCTAATGGCAGGTAGTTATTAACCTCCAGGAAACAGAAAAACTACGCATTACTGCAATGTATCCAGCCTAAGAATACACAAACTCGTGAAGTTTGATGCATCAGGGTGGTCCCAAAATCATCTTAAAATAATTTTTAAACAAATTAGTTATTGTCATTGCTAGCTGCCACACACATTGCTACACAGAACTCCTGATTGTTACAAATTCTGCCCAAGGAACCGGACAGCAGGAAGTTAAACACATTAGGCTACTTTTTTACAATAACCAGAAGCTATTAGAATGGACCAGGAACAACCAGTCCAAACCAGAAAGAGACAGTTCTTCCCTAACAGGTAGCAAGTAACCTCCTTTATCAAAGAATGCAAGAAGTTAAAATACGTTCAAACAAAAACTGGGCAAAGGGAGAAACGTTCATAGGTTGAAAAGGGACTGAACAGCACTTTTAACTAAATAGCTAAACCACGTTAGAAAGTCCCCTGAGCTGAAAACAGGTGGAAGTTGGGAAGAGTGTAAGAAGGTGGTATGGGAAAAAAGAAAGAAGAGTATCATATGTTATCATATTTTTATCCTTCCATCAGCTTCTGATTATGGCTACTTTCTTTTCCCCCATGACCTTAAATGCATTTAATTGCACATTAGCCCCTGCAATGGACGGGAAGATGATAAGCAGCAACTTGTGATTACAGTTTTTATTGATTTTTCCCCTGGTGTACTGCTTCTAAAGACACTGCAATAACAGGCAGATGCATAGGAGAAACAGAAAGAGTTCCAACCATCTTTTGGCCCTAAAAGTCTGTTTAACGTGATATCTTCAAGTCAAAGATGTAAAAGATATTTAACTGTCATGAACAGATGTTAAACTTGACCTTAGACAAAGATCACAGATTAGAGACAGAATATTAAGCTGAATGAACTCTTAATCTGAGCCATTTTTATGCTTTTATATTAATGAAACTCACAAGTAACTTCACCATTTGTTTAAGATCAGTTTGCTGAATTAAATGTCATCTCCTAACTCTACCTTTCCTGTTAGAAGTTATAAAAAAAAACTTATAGTAAGAAAATATGGTAAAAGAGAATGAAAATTCAATAAAGACCCAGAAGAAGAAGCAGTAAGGGTAAATGAGCAGTAGAACCTGCAGCTACTTAACTTTTTTCAACCTGAATTAAACTCCACTATATTGTTCTGCACAGTGGAGGTTTACAAGACATGCTCACACATGAGAGGGGCTGGGCTGCCATCCAGAGGGACCCGGACAAGCGGGAGGAATGAGTGAACAGGAGTCTTATGAAATTCAGCAGCGACATACACGAATCCCTGCATCTGGGAAGGAAGAGTCCCCTGCAACAGTGCAGATCGGCAAAACAACACCAGCAGTACCCAGTGGTGCATAGTGGGAAGATGAGTGGCAATGTCGAAACAAGAAGTTCAGACTTGGTGCAAGGAAAAAAATGTCTCACTATGAGGACACACAGGCAGCGAGATAAGTAAAGCAAAATACACAGAGAAGCTGTGCAGCCTCCATCCATGAAGGTTCTGAAGGCAAGACTGGATAGCACAACATAACAGTACAGGAAATGTCACAATTGAAAGGACTTCAGGACTGGTATTCGCCACAGCCATATTCAAAGTGGACCTTATTTAGCTTGACCTTTTCACTTTTATGCTTGCTAATATTCTCCTATGTCCCACAGGCATTTACTTTAAAGTTAATCTGATTTAAGTTAATTTGGAGCAATTTTTCTCAGTTTTTATTTAGTTCTGAAAGTTGCTACTTCTATTCTTCAACATGAAGAAGAGATTCTGGCCATTTTTCTTCCTGTCTTATTATGCCATTCAATACTACTACCTCCTATAAACTTCTTAGCTTCAGTTTTTGGCCTACTGTGACTGCAGTCCCACTACTATTTCCTTTACTTTCATAAAAAGATTTTCATGCAAAAAGTTTTTGCTACAGGTAATTTTTATTCATTGTGGGTGTGCTGCAAGTATAATCAAGGACAAAAAAAAATTCACGAAGGTCAATAAGCCAGTTCCACTCCAACTCCATTTGACACAAAGGCATGCAGTAAAATATTCCAAGAGTATCATTCCAGTTTTTCCAAATGTATAGGTTCTGGCCAAAAATCTCTAAGTAAACATGTTTCACTTAAACTGGAAATTGCAAGCCTGCTTTCATTTCTAACCTTGAGATCAGGTACGTGAGAAGTTTTATGCTATGGCACATAGAATGAGAATTTAAATTCTCATTCTAATTACGCTGTAGGAAAGAAGTAAAACGGCTGCCCCTTTAAAGCAAGAGCAAAGAGAATGTATACCCCTCCTTATCGTGCCCTGCAAACGAGATACTGTGGCATATGCAACAGAAGATACAGCTGCTAATCAAAATAAAATACATTTAAAAAAAAAAAAGAGTAAGGCATTGCAAACAGCATGTATGCTTATTTAAAGCAGCAATCTCTTTGGCCTAATCTAGTTACATACTTTCGTCTTTTCTAAGAGTCTGCCCACAGCAGATAAACACACAAACCTTCTTGTGCTGCACCAACTGACGTCAGCAGTCGCTTAGGAACAGCGTTTGGTGCAAAAGTGGTAGTACCGAAACTATGTTTACAATTGAAAAAGAATGAAATATGCAGAGCTCACCATAGCTTCAGGAAAAAGAGATACGAATTCATAAACGTAAACCACAAAAGATCTTTTCTAAAAATTCGTGGGACTTTCAGGGAATGTTTATCTGCTTAAATACCTTCCGGTGAATACAAAGAGTGATAGATTCATTTTTTTATATTTTCAACAGTTCACTCTTCCCAGAAAAAAAAAAAAGGGAAAAAAAAAAGAAAGAAGTAGTCATCAGTTTCGTCAGTTTTGGAATGTAAGCTTTGAGCTTCTTTCATTTCTGTTTAATCTGTAAATGAAAATTCAAATCCAGTAACAACTTTATTGGGTAACTGTTTAGAGGGACAAAGCCCTGTTGTTCTCACAGCAAGAAAACAAAAGATCTCACAAAACAACCTGCACCAGTAGAAATAATTATCCCATCACTATTTTCTAAGTAGTCAAATGTTCAGAAAGTCTAGTATCTAAGGAACTTAGAAGTGCTCTACTTTAAATAACTCAGTAAAAAAATTATTTAGAAGACCCTGAAAAATAAGCAATGTAAAACTGTACAGATGCAAAGCTGTTTGCCACAGCTTCACAAATAAACTTAATTTTACAGTTACAGAATTTTAATTTAGAAAGAATGCGTGTGAAATCTCTAAGAACAGGCTTATTTATTGGTCCAGCATATTTTATAAGTAAAGCCCAAATTCTGAGTACCCTGATGCTTTTCATTCTTTGACAATGTATGATAAAGTTTCTAACCACTTGTTACATTTATGGAAATCTATTGAATAAGAAAAAAAAATTGCATTGTTTACGCAAGTTTAAAAAGTGTTATTTAAAATATAGATATATATATTGGACCTCTAGTAGGCATTCTCCAGCTTAAGTCTATGAAAATGTAGCAGTTCTCTCATCAGAGCTGGGCCTAATAGGAATGCACTGAAATATCGGACATCATAACAGAGGAAGTCTGTACCTCGTGTGCTCACATTCCTCCTGCTGGCTCTGAGAAAACACGAAGGAAGAAGTGAAAACTAGAGTGGCCAAAAAAAGGACACTGCAGAGAAGGACACTGAATAATATGAGTCAATATTACAAAAAACAGAATGCTTATTTTCATATTCTTTTGACATATTTCCAATATAAAACCTCACATTCAACAGTCACTCTCAACCCCTCAACAGTAATTAGTTACTCAGACCTGAGAGGCTGTGCATGCATTTATCACAGTTTTTTGCCGCACACATCTCCAATCAAAAAAAATGCATGGGGAGAGAACACAGCCTGCTTCTCCCATTAAGCTAATATAAGCTTAACTTATAAACTTAATATATAATATAAGCTGAATTCAGGAAGGCTAACTGGAATATATATCAAATGGAAGTGATCAAAATCAGGAACATTCCCCCTTCACTCCACCAAAAGACACCCACCACCCATATGCAAAGTGGAAAAACTATATAAAAGACAACAGGGATAATCCCCTTTTTTTTTTAATACTGAATTCCTGACATGCAAACAGTTTTAGCAAATGTCTGAAATGAAGACAAGGAAAAGGAGCAGGTAAAACCAACTTAACTGAAGCAGATAATCCATGGTTCCATTCATCTCAGTATGTTTTGGTCTGCTATGAGGATTGGGAGAAAGCTGTTTCTGTGATTCCAAGGCACCCCTAAAGAATATTGTCTCTGGACAAAGTCCAGATGTAATTTAGGCCAAGAATAGCTCTATGATCCCAAAGTGAAACATTCCTAGACCATCCAATGGTCTAAGTAGTTTATCTGGAGGTCAAGCAGAGAGATCTGAAGAAAAAATAGTTCGACTAAACTCATCAAAGCCTTACTCATTGATCCAGGTAGAGTTCAGAAATTGCTTCAGCTTGCTTTCTGATTTATATGCCTGTACCTGGCCTCTAAATCAACTTTTCCAGGATTCTAAATTTACTTCCCATCACACCTCTCATCATGACAGCCGAAAAGCAAGTTTCCAGTCTTCTAATACCCTTTGGAAACAGAGCATCGCTTTTCTACTGCTGTATCTGGAAACAATCAAGGTGCTGAAGGGAACAACTGGCTCTTCAAACTACTGCTGTACTTTGAGAATTTTTGAGGGGCCAGAACACAGTTCAACCATGCTTCAATGGATAGCACCAGCAGGACACTCTGTTGTCTCAAGTCTCACTTCTGGTAAACCTCTCAAACAGAGGCATCCACCTGGATAATCTTTTAAATATGACTTGAAACAGGAAACAAAGAGCCAGAAACAAATGTCCAGTTGTTATCAGAATTGCAGCCTATGCACTAAGCCAACCTTCACAGAATTCTAGTTAGAATTATGCTCCTACAATGCCAGCTTTGTGTCCCATAAATAGGTAAGACTTACTGGGAGATTAATTTTGTTGTTCTAACAACTGGTCTTGAAAACAGCCAAGTTTTAAGTGTCTTTTTCCTTCTTCACCCTCTCTTTCATAAATGTTAGCTAGTTAATTTTAAAGCTAACAAAAAAATTACCTCACTGCTGATGCAGACAAACATGCATTTGAGCAATGTAATAAACTATAAACATAAAAATCATCTTATCTGCAAAAAGAATGTGAACTTGGAGATACAATGAGAAACATACTTCACTCACACATATGTTCCATTTCTTAGAGTGGGGGAAATAACTCTGAGCATCAGAAAAGACTGAGGAAAACTAATGGGAATCAATGTTAACAAAACTTCAGGCTCTCTAAAGTCACTTTGAGAAAAGAAATTCTATGAAAATCATCTTTTCCTTGAAAAGCAAGCTTCTTTGCTTCATCCTTTTATCTGCTGTGCATTTTACTATTCAGGGCTCCACAAGAATAGCCTGTGACATGTCCTTTTACTTCTCAATAGTCATAACACAAAATAAAATACCAGTGACACAGCTTGCTCTCACATCCCAGCAACAGCAGTGAATCAGGCCTCTTGCCAAGTCAAAACTTGTTCGAGCGCCTCCTCCAAAAAAAATGGCCATCACCACTCCTATCTAGTAGACTGCTAAAGTGAAAAAGAAGTGATAGTCTCTATGAGAAAAGCTCAGAGCATAAATAAATTAGCCAATAAGTCAGCATTTCATTTATCTCGGAGCTGTCATTGCTAGACAGCTTGTTTGTGTAACTGGTAAAGACAGAAGAACAATAAATTAAGTCCTATGACATGATAGGAAATAAACTGTCATGTTTCACTGCATAGAAGACCACCTTCCCAAAACTCGAATGAACATCACAACAAGGAATACCAGAACAATAAACACACTT